ACTGGAAACACACAGACAGACAGACAGGGCTGAAGGGCAGGAAAAACAACTCCCAAGTAACCAGCTGCCCTGTACAGAACACCTCTACTGCTCTGCAATTCATACATGTGATCTTCCAAATAAAGATCACCTATTTCTTTACCTCATGTACATCAACACAGCACAGATCCCTTTAGGAAACTCCATTAAAACCAAATAAAAATTCAAGTTGCAACAAGAGAGAGATATAATCACCATCTGCATAAGGTTCTACTCACATCCCCTGGTGCCACCACATCATTGCAGAAGTAGCAGCCCAGTTTATAGCCAGGGATATTTGAGAAGAGTGAGGATCCCAGCAGATCAGAGGAAGCAGAGGCGTTGCTGAAATGTGAATCATCAGTTTGTTGCTGTTTTGGCTTCTTTAGGCCATGTCTCATAACAACAAAAGTGTCAAATCCCAAGGCAGCATTGATGACCAACTGTGAACAATAAAGGGAGAACAACAGATTTTAAGTGAGCCAAAAAGGGAGGGGGGAAAAAACAGCCTTGAGGTTTTTATTCACTAAAAATGCCAAAAAAACCCACACACTGTAGATGGATGAGCAACCCATTAACTGCATCTTAGCCATAAAGAACAGATTCTGAAAGGTGCAGAATTCCAGATGTCAAGCACATAGGAAAAAACAAAACCAAAATAAAAGCCTGTTTCAGAAAGTCACAAGCTCTTTTTCTGTGCCTTTCAGGACAATCTGATCCCAATGAATGACTCTCTCTAGTTGTCACACAAACTTGTGACAAAAAAGCAACAGCAACTTCAAGCAATGAAATGCCATCTGTTAGCCAAACCAATTTCTGCTCAGTAAGGAAAGCAATTAATGATTACTTATGGCCTTCATCTGCATCTGCTTAATCACATGGGGAGCAGGAGCAGCTGTGCTGCACAATTCCTGTGTCCTCATTTCCCCCTTCCTCCCCACTTTGTGGCAAGTGCCCAGAGGAATCTGAAGCACAATATCACCACAACAATGGCTGCAGCCAGACAAGTGTAAAGGAAGATGCACTGCTTCATCTGCAGATACTGTGGATAGAAACTCTGGTGCAGCACTTCCTTGTTTTCCTTTCTTCCAGCCAGGAATTATTTAAAAAGAACTCTGAGAGAAGCTCTCTCAAGAATTAGTCATCTTCATTAGCAAGCTTTGATATCATCATTCTCAGTATTCCCAATTATTTCTGCAGATTTTCTTTCAGTCTTGGAATACTTTATTTTTCCTCAGTCCTGAAGTGGAACCCTGCTGTTGAATCTGTGCAGGGCTACAACAATTAAAACATTGCATGTTCTCACTGCATCTACCTGTAAAATCTGAATATGGTGTTCCACTTCCAAAATATGAGTAAGAGCTGGTATTAGCAGAAATTAATAATATTGTTAAACAATTCCCACTGCAATCAACTGTTTCTCTCCTCTCAGTTTACTGGCAGGTAACTATTTCATTCTAACCAATTGAACCTCAATTAAAAAAAAAAAAAATCTGGTTTTGATAAAGAGACAATGGAAAAGTATATTTGGCACAGATTAACAAAAAGAAAAAACAAGCAAATTTTAACAAGTTCCAGTGCTCATCAGGAACAGAGATGTAACATCTGACATGAGGACTTAGCATTTGAGGGGTTGGTTTGTGTGAGGTGCTGTTTTGGGGAAGGACTGCAGGAATGACAAAGATCACCAAGGCACCTGAATGCTGAAGTGGGAGAACAACTCCTGCTGCTCCCACAGACCTGGTTTTGTGCATTTTACACAAACCATCACTCACCCTGTTCTTTATTTTCTCTGTGCCTTTTTGAGACTTTTGGGACCAAAGTGTGCAGTACTAGAGATCTGCAGGTGCACACAAAACCACATTTGAAGCAGAGCTCTCCTGGAGTGTTTACCAACATAAAATACTGAGCATTTGTTTGGATACCTTGAGATTCCCCTGTTGTGTTCTCTCAGTGACAGAGAATTCCATCTCACATCAAAGTGATGGCATCAAACCAACCACCTGTGATGCAGACACACTACACCACTGAGTAACAGAGAAATGTCACAAAAAACTTTCAACGTTTATCCTCAAAATTATTTGAATGCTGCAGGAAAAACGTAGAGGGGCATTGCTGGCTAAGAAATGTGGGAGGGAAGTTTTGGAGATCATAAAACCACTCTATCCTGATTGAACCAGACAGGATTCATATAAAATATGCACATGAAACTCCAAAATTGCCACCCATCATACCACGTGGAAGAGTAGGCTGGCCTCAGCACTTCATAGTTCAACACCCAGCTTTCCAAACTTGCTCTTTTTGTCATTTCTGTGCTGGTTTTAAACAGCTAAAATATTGCTGAAAGACCAAGGTGCAAGCTGCAGAAAGGCCAGGAGGCTGAAGGAGGAACTGATGAAGTTACCAAGTTACACACACCCGAAGCTGTGATTCAGTGAAGCCCTCACTAAAGGGACACTGATCTCTCCACTGGCAAAGGGAAGCTCATTTGAGCTATAAAGAAATAGAAGTGCATTGTTCAGGCCAGAAATGTATTGGAAATAAAGGGAGAATGAAGGAAAAACTGGATTAGTACAATACCTTCCTCTTGCTGGCTGCAATGACAGCAGGCAGCCAGCGACTCTCCCGAGTGTCCATGAGCAGGAACACAACATCGTGGCCATCAATGAGCTCCTCAAGCTTGGCCACATCCTTCTGAGCCTGGGCCATTGTCACCTCTGAAAAATTCACTGGGTGGCCTGGCATGGGGATGCTCATGTTGTAACCTTCAGAGCTCTGGAGGGAGGGAGGCAGAAAATCACAAGTTCAGAAGGTAGCCTTGTGACTGATGGGTGTAAAATTCAATAAAAATCAGAGTACAAATTCAATTCCTGCTTGTCAGAATGGCAGCTCTGCTCTTTGCACCTCTCTGTGTGGCAGTGCTGTGCACTAAAGCACAGTGCTGGGGTTTCTCAGTCTGCAGTTATGCAGAACTGACTCAGAATGTCTTAGCAGGCCTAGGAAATCACTACAAGAACAGAGTGGAACTGCTCCTGATCCCAGGGGTTACAAACATCACCCCAAAGCCAAGCAGCCACATTTGCATATGATTATGATCTGTGATTAAAACTTGTGTCCTGGATTCTCTTTCCAGCCCCTTGCCACACAGTTTTAGGAGGCTGCAGTTTGTATTTCTGCTGCTCAACACTGCCTCGGGCACAGTCACACGTGTGCAGGATCACACATTGCTCTTTATTTTCAGCTCCTGAGGAGAACAGCCTGGGATGATGTCCCTGTAATTCCCCAGCCTTGGGGGAACCTGAGACAGCAAAAAGCACTTCTGAGATTTGTCACTGCACAGCTGGAGGCTTGCACTGTGCAGATGCTGGAGGAGTTTGTTCCTCTGGCAGAAACATTCCCCTCTTCCAGCCCTTGCTTGGGCAGGACATACTGAGAGCAAATATTGAGCCAAATAAGCATCTACAAAATGCATATACAATGCAAACAATTAATTCACTCCTTTGGAAATGTGTCAGCACAATCTGCCAGCCATCTGCTGGAAGGGAAGGATGGATCCCTCATTTATGTTACGGATGAACAAGCCTTGCCAAAGCCTCCCTGCTTGGCACTGCAGGAAAAATTCAAAACCAAAATGTAAAAACTGGATGAACCAAACATAAAATTCCATGGGAAGAGAGGAAAGGTTGGTGGAATGTACTTTTGCACAGACCAATTAATTGCCAGCACAACTCATAAATCCAGGTAAGTCAAATCACCAGAAGGCTGAACATGAATAAACATCCCTGAGGATAAAAAGAACCAGGCCCAGTGAGCAGCTTGGAGAAATGACTGTGGGTAATATCTGCATTAACCATACCAAAGGATACACCTTTTTTTTCCCTTCTGTACCATCACCACAGACATCAGGAAATTACTGGGGCAGGCTTTAATTTCAGAGTCATTATCTCCTCCAAAAGGTTGTGGTAGGAATATAAAACTTCATCCATGCTGTGCCTGAGTAAAGTACTCATGGATAACTCATCAAGCCTGTGTTACAAAGTGCTGATTAATTAGATCAGCTCAGCTGACACTGCTGGTGACTTTGGAGGACAACTTTTGTTTAATAAATTAAAACAAATAGCTGGATATTAGCTGCACCAAAAAACAGTCAATGCTGTTTGTAAATACTAAAATCCTACCAGAATTCCAAAAAAAAGCTCAATCCAGGCATTGTGTCTGTAGGACTACAGACAAGTCAGGCAGCTTCAACAATTTTATTTGAATAACTGTCCCTCAAAAAAGACAGCAGCCACCAGCCAAAGTGGCTGAGGTGCACTCTGGCAGTCAAACAATGGCAAAAAGAGCTCAAAGGGCACAGTGCTATTATTTTAAGGAGTAAATGTCCATCTATATCCCCAAAGAAAGATCTGGCTCATTCCACAGAATCCCAAAATCTCAGGAATCTAAGAAAAGATTTTAAAAAATCATCCAAATATTTAGCTACCATCTCATAAAATATCAGAATGACATTAAAAAGGGGGAACTATATGTTGTTCTCTTTGCTGGAAGTTAAAAACTAAGCTATTAACTTCTAATGGAGAAAATCAATTTAGAGAAGATTGCAAAATTGAGGTCTAAAACATAATAGGAAATCTCAAAAATACATTTATTACTTCCCTCAAGACCTGCTCCCAGAGTAGACAATTAATATGTCTGACCTGGCATTACTCAAAGCTCCTTAGGACATCCTAGACAGCAAAAAATTTCACTTCACTATCAATAAGCTACAAGATGACTTAATGATCCTTAATTATATTTCATTACTCCAAATAATTACCTCAACAGTTACCAGGAGCAGAGATTTGAAGTAAAATATTTCAGCAACCAACAGAGCACCCGGGTCACGTTTTTAACATTTAACTACTAGAACTTGGAATAGCAATTTCAAGTAATTTTTTTTTTTTTTTCCTCCCAATGATAGTACCATGGAAATAATGATCTTACCACTCCAGGGAAGATTTTTTGCAGCCTTTCTGCTGCTGCCAGAGCCTTGGGCTTGCCCCCACTCAGGCAATCCTCGAACTCGTAGAGCGGCTGCCGCACGGGGTTGGAGTAGGAGATCTTGGCATTGTCCACAAAAGTGATTTTCCTCACTCCCCAGCCCTAAAGGAGAACAAAGTTTAATAAAGATAATTACAACAGCCTTGGAAAAATCTTTTTGAGGAATGCCAAATACTCAACGTTGTGTTTTGTCCACTTTTTTAAGCTACAAAAGCTTTTGCAATTATTCGAAGCAACTGGAATAAGAGAACAGAAAATTTGGTTGGTCCAAATACAGCATTTAACAGAAATCCCTCAAAGCCTGCTGAATTCAGTGGAATCTGGTGAACATCCCTGAAAGGAATTATCAGCACAGTTATTTCAAGTGCTTCACTGTGAATTTGGCCTTTATAGCTTGTTAATTTGTTCCAGAATCTCTTTTTTAATATACAAAATATAAATACAAAATATATAAATACAAAATATCCTGCCAGGGTTCCCTTACTATCTCATATTAGCAGAGCTTCAGTTACTTATTTCCATTAGCTACAGATCTCACCTCCTCCCTGCAATTTATAAGACAACTGACATGCATTCTGTGTATTTTGATGCAGAGAATGCAATTTGCCTCTGATGTGTCACAGCAGCTGGATAAAAAAAAAAAAATAAAGAAATATAGAATTTATGAGAAACTGGAGATTATTTGTAAGATTAAGGATTTACCATCAAGGTCCTTGCAACACTACAGCCCAGGGTGCCAGCTCCCAGCAGCAGACACTTGGCAGTCACAATCTTTTCCAAATCCAGAGTAGGCACCAACCTCCAGCACATCAACTTCAAATTCAGATCCACGGATGATTCTGCCAACCTGTGCCATGGAATAAACAACAACAACAACTTCTGAACCCTCCTGGGCTTCTCCAGCGAAGGAATTACTGATACTTCAGCTGAATGAGTTAATTTGTAAAAATGTTTTTACAGGAGAGGAAGAATTCAGCAGTGTAACACATGGTAATATTAAAAACAATCAGGCAAGGGCTTCTGAAAAAGTAACAATCCAAAACTAAGATTTTAGCAATAAAATTGATGCAAGCATGAAAATAAAACCTGTGTCTGAGCCAAGATTTCTGTTAAGCTGAGTGCTAAGACAGATAATTTGTCCACAAATGTTTGTTACATTTTTTAAACTACCTGGTTTCCTGTATCCAGTTACATCTGCCCTTAATGTGAAATATTCCACTTGTGCCCTAAAGCCTGTGAGCAGCTCTTTGTGGAAGTCTGAGAAAGAAAATGAGGTAGGAAATCTGTGTTCAAGCCAGGGGCAGAATTTTATACCCATCAGAACCCAGGGTGTTAAAATTCTCACCAAGCCTGGCCCCCACAGCTCTCAGATTCCTGCAAGTTTCATTCCCTCACACAGGATAAATAAAATCTTTTCAGCATCCAGTCAATTATTTGTCCAACAAGGATTTAAAGAGCAATTGTCAAGGCTGGCATTTTACCACCACCTCTGTGGGAAGCACTTCTATAATTTACACAAGTAAAGAAGGTCAAGTTACCTAAAGAATTAAGAATTGTGAGTTGAATTTTATTGAATATCTGTGAAGACACTGAGAATTTCCACAAATGCTTGATGGGCAAAACATGAACCTGAACCATCAGACCAATCATTTTTTCCAAGGCAAGGACACAGATGCAGATACTCTGTATCCCCATTCTTTCCAACCCACTGCCCCAACATTATGTATAGAATGATAAAAATTATTAAGGTCACATCTCCTGAGCTCTTTCCTGTCCCACTCTGACAAATCCCAAGGGATGAAGTTTCCCCCGTGCTTCTTTTCATGAACACCCTGCAGGTTATAGAGTTCAATGACATTACCCCAGGCCTGTGACACTCTGACCCACATTTCATTTTGAAATAAATGCATTCAGAATTTTCAACTAGAGTCCAAAACTGCCAAGATTTCTGCTGCAGGCAGTGCACTGCTCTGTAGAGGTCCTTACCTCCAGAAAAAGTCCAAACAAGATCCAGTGTCTGTTTTCATCTATTTCACATTTCAATTTGCTATGGATTAACCCCAAGTAAAGAAAACTATGGGGATTTAAAAGATAAAACTCAAACCTTTTTGGATCCATGCATTCACTGAGATTCACCATCCTTGGTCCCATGCCTCCCTTTTGGTTTTTCTCCCATCCAACAGCTTTTGGACAATCTGTTTGAAACATTTAAAAAATAAAAAGCCAAACCAAAAAACAAACAAAAGCAAGAAAAAAGGAAAGAAAGAATAAAGACTTCAACATCACAGGACAGAAAAAAAGAAATTTTGTTGGACTTAACCCTGTTGGAAAAAGCCTTATTTTAAACCTGCCAGTAAATAAACTGTATTTTAACCTGCTGTACAAATTGTGCTGTTTCCATCAACTGAAAGCTCCTGGAGAATTTCTTTGCTCTCAGGTGTCTCCTGTGCTGCTTTTGCCTGTTCAGCTTCAAACCCAGCACAGAGCTGACATCATTCCCCCCCAGATCTTTAATATCGAGCTCAATAAATTGATAATTCAGTAAATTTTGCCAATTTCAGTCATCATTTCATGGTCCCTAGACCCCATCTGCAAATCCAGTGGAGAATTATATATCTTAATTATATATAAGAAAATAATTTGCAACAATGATGTGTGAGGCATTCAGAACTTTTTGCCTGAAGTAGAGAAATTTTGTGAAACTGTCCTGTACCTAGAAATTAAATCTGAGATGATGTTTTAATATTTTAAGTCCATTGCTTTAAAATACACCTGGATGTGTCACTATGGGATTAGAGGAACAGTTCCACTCTGAGGCAGGTTTTTATCATTTTAGAAATTCTCCAGAAATTTTGCATCCCATAAATTCATTATCACTTTTTTCCTACCTGAGGGACTGTATAAAAATTCAACAAGAAAAAATGACACAAACTGCTGTTTTATTGTGTTTTCTATTACACCAGCAGGACTTGTCTTGGTTTTCAATTAGAAACACAATTGCAGGAGGAAAAAATTAAGAGAGAATATTCCCTCTTCCTTCTTTGTTGAAAAAGGAACCATTTCCTTTAGAGATATTCAACGGAAATTCAAATTATTTCAAATCCATTTGAAATAACTTAGCATAAGTAACAGTTTCATAGTAGTAATTTCTTTTGCCATGTCAGCAGCAGTTTAGAAGGAAAATAAAAAGGGAAGAAATGCTTTTAATGGATTACCTGGGCCCAGGGGTGTCTCTGGCAGTTGGATTTCAAAGATGATGCTGTGTGTGATGTCTCTCACCCCCTGCATGGTCCTGTCCCTGAAGCAGAGCACTTCAACCCTCTGCAGAGCACTGCCCCTGCCATTAAAATAAAAGATAAATAGAGACAGACATGCAACTTCTTTAATAGAAAGGGGATTTGTTTTAATCACCATTTCATACAGGTTTAGTCCTTTGCAGGTTCTGAATGAGGCTTTTTTGTCTCAGGACTGAACACTGGTGTCTTTATCAGGTATAGAAAGAATTCCTCAAGTGTAAGAAAATGACTGGTTTGGTGTGAAACAGCTCCAAAGCAATGCCACTGTCAGCCTGTCCTTGCATTTATCCAGCACTGCACAAACTGCAGATTTCGAGGAATAAAAAGCAGAAAAGCATCAGAGCACACATCAGGTGACACAGTGGGACCTTGCTGTGGCACCAACATCCTCTAAGTTCTCAATATATGTAATTTTTCCTCTTTATAATTCCAACCCCTAAACAAAAAAGGAGAATTTTAGTGCCTAAACCTCTCTGAACCTCAAGCCTTGTAACAATGTAAATGTAACATTCAAAACTATGGAAGTGCAACCTAATTACAGTTTTGTTACAGCAACCCAAATTTAGTTGCTAATTTAAATCCTTTCTTTCAAAACTCAGAGTGTGAAACTGTGTCTTTGTCTTCCCACCTTCTCCCCAACACAAAAAAAAAATAAAAAAATCAAGCAGTGCAAGAAGAAAACCCAAGAATATCTGATTTTTAGAATCTAAGTCTGCTATGACTTGACACTAATTAATGATATAAATTCAGAGGCATTGGCAGGGTGTGAAGCTGGCATTTCCAGGTGCATGCATCCATGTGAGGAATAGGATTAACAGGAATCTGTGACTGACAGAAATATAAAAAAGCATAATGCACAAAATCAGAATCACTCCAAGTGGGTAATGTAAAGAGAAAAAGCAAAATCTCAGGTGGGTGGTATGAGTGAAATGTCATGGGGAGAAAAATATCTCATTTAATATCAACCAATAAATAATCTTGGTGGGAAAGAATAAAATAGATACCATTTGTGGGCTGCCAGGATCAGGAAGTTTCTCAGTGGCCATCCTGGATACTGGGATAAATTACAGGGATCATAAACTCCAACTGTCACCTGCAAATCAAATTATTCTACATGAGAAGTCATCTATCCACAGTCATGCAAAGGTTATTTGGCATTTTTAAATAAAAATTCTGGACAAGGTAGGCCTACACATCCATTCTGCATATTTATAAATATTTAATCTATGGTCACACCAGGTTTTAGTCAAGCTTTTGCCACAGCTTTGAAATTTATTCTGTTTGGTCTCTTTAGGGGCACTGGATGTCACTGCAATAAATGCTCCTTTATTACCTTAAAAACACAATTCTGAGGGAAGCCCAGCAACTGAAGCCTTGCTCCCAGCCCAGAATTCTGCACTGATTTTGGGATGATCAAAAAGTGAAAGGGCACAAGCCAGCAAGAGAATAAATCAAAGAGAAAACAGCATAAAAATCACTTTACACCCTCCACACACAACCACTGTGCCCAGCTCAGTATTAGAGTGCCAAACCATTCACAGATTAAACATTTCACTATATAAAATGATATAAAATTCTCATTACCTTTTCTCCTTGGTCTGGAAAGAAGCCATCCCACCTTTTCAGCAGGGATATCATGACAGAATTATCATGATACTTAATTAAAAAATAAGGCAGGGCTGTCACCCCCTCCTCCTGGCAAAGGTCATCATAGGCTTTCTGCAGAGCTTGAATCTGGAGGTGAGAAGACAACTGAACCAACAATTTTAACAATTTTGCACTTTAATATGAAAGAAACTAAAACTAGTTTAACTTTTCTCCTAAAAAAACTTAAAAATTTATTTCTTTTCTTGTCTAATCATGCATTTTATTAATAATGATGAGTTGGCTCACTCAGGGGATGCCCCTTTATAAAGATTTCTTTCAAGTGAGTTTCAAAACCAAAGCTATATACATAACTACACATGAATTTTAATTCTTATATACAGCTTAACATATGTATCCCAAAAATAAATATATATTATATAGCTTAGCATAATCACCTCTTCAAGAATTGCTTGCCATATCTGCATCTAAACTGAGACAATTGAAACAATCATGGAACAAAAGGTAGACAAAAAACCAACATGGAAATTTTAAAAAGCAAAGACTTTAAAAGAAATTACAGTCTCCAATTAATTCAGTTTATGGTAACCAAAAATATTGAGTTTTAAAGCTCACAGAAGTTCTCAGTATTGCAGAATTCACAGTATTTAGGATTTTGAATACCTGATTCAGTGAGAACCTGTCCCCAAGACACACAGGTTTCTGAGTGATATGAATTCCATCAGGGAAGCAGAGAGCAGGGTAGCAAAACCAGTAATAGAAATGATACTTTTTTAAATCCTAGGGAAAAAAAATTGTAAAGTTACATAATAAAGAGATATATCAAAGTAAATTGTATAATAGTAATTCTAATTAATGGTTTGATTTTAACCATGGGAACCACAGGGATCTTTACCTCACAATGATTTTAGAAGATCACAAAAATACTAGAGACTTCCATTCTCTGTATATGTTTTAATTTAGATTTTAATTTAAGATTTAGACAGACAATGTGTGTATAATCCTTCAGGTTTTGTTAGCTGGAGTATTTAGTAAAACTTTGAATTTATTAAATATGAAACAGCTGCTCTATTTTACTGGTATCTGTAACAGTTTACAGGTTGACCTGTAAAGATTTTTATAAAGAATCTAAGATTACCATCAAGTGATCTTATACAATGGTAGAAAAAAATATAAAAATATATTAATGCAGCATTATTATTAATGCAAAATATATTAATACTCCTAAAAATAAATCACTTTGCTACTTCCACTACAAGTAGAGGACACAAATAATCTGTACTCACTGCAAATGTCAACAGCAGGAACCTGTTCAAGAGCATTGGGTTCTCCAGAGCAGCTCCAGATTTGATTGATTCCCAGATCTGCCATGGATTGAGGGGACAAAAAGGAAGAAAAAGGGCAGAGAAACACCCAGAGAACATGAGAACAGCTGCAATAATCTGTAACTCTTCCAGCTACCTTTAAAGTATGCAAATAAACATTCACTGTGATCTTTTCTAACTGAATTTGTCCAGTATTATCTGTGCTAAAAGCATTTTAAAGGTCAGACAACAGGGAATTACGAGGCCACAGGAATGCAAAATATTCCTAGTTTGGAGTGAAGATATGCATGAAAACTTTGTTACTCAAGGCAATTAATTAAAGGAATCAAGGACTGCTCAAAGTAAAGCATCTTAAATTTGGCTTTCACCTCTCCCCAGGCCATGACATGAAATTAACTGGTGACAGTGCAGGCACACCAGCCCCTCCAGGCCATCTTTTTCTTGCTTTATCTCAGACTTCTTGCTGCTCTGGAGCTTCCCCATCTCTTTGTCACACAGATAAATTGCAGTAGTCTGAGGTTTAAATCAGGCACTGCTGCTCTTTGGGTATGAAGGCAAATTTTTAAAATGTGCTCTACAGAATTCAAGTCCCTGGCAGCTCCAAGAGCATTGTAGAGCTTAAAATGTGATGGAGCTCTCCAAGTCAAAGTAGTTATCATTAATTAAATTAGGTTCTACTCTCTTGTAGAGAACATTAAAAGGCAAACATCAAACTCTTCCAGAATAAGCTAAATCCTGAGGCTACTCAGGACTGGAGTATCTCCAAATTTGGGGCAGAGTGTAAAGCACTTCAAGTGGTAGAAAGGATTTGGAAACACTCAGTGATTTGATTTTAAATCTTACCTCATTTGCTTCCTTGTCCAGAAGCGCTTTCTTATCACAGGATTTGAAAGTCTCCAAAGTGTTGGTGTTATACAACGTTCCAAAAGCAGGACAGCAACGTGCTGGTATTGAAGCATTCCTGGAAAAAAGAAGGAAAACTCTAGGCATTAACACAGTCATCATCTGCAGTATCCATCTTATGGTGCAAACTTCAATTATCAAATGATGAGGCACAGCCATAAAAGTAACACCACCTCTAAGGAAAACATCTTTAAGAACATGGATTGATGGAATAATAACCACTGTAAACACACATCTCCATCATGGCTTCAAAAATACATCTGGCATCTGCATTTTTTACTAAATCAGGGATTGAAGCTTTTAAATTCTGATCAAATAGAAGCCACCCATGACAAATGGGATTTGGGCTGAGCTTAGTTGTCAGTGTTGTACTCACATAAAGAGTTAGTTAAAATTTGATGTTTAAAACTCATCCCAACAGCTTCTGTAGTTTTTAACATCATCACCTGTTTGCAAACAGCATTTCATGTTTGAGACAAATTAGGTAAAACCCCTACAATATTCCTTTAATTTACAGATCTGATTGATTTCATTGCCTCCTTTAACACTGTTCTCAAAACCTGATATTTTTCCAGTCATAGCAGATAAACACTTTGGAAGAGATTACAGTGTAACAACCAAGGATTGTAAAAACTATTTGAAATCCTAACTAAAGCTACAGGGGAAGCCTCCCTAATTCAAAAAGCTGAGGAAATGGGGAAAAATGGTATTTTATATAAACATAGATGCAGAAAGTGAGTGAATCTGAGAATTCAGAGTATCTTAAATTCAGCCAAAAGGAGTTAATTTTTTGTGACTCGAAGCAGTCTCTCCACTGTTATAAAGTTCATTAAAATTTTATTTATTCTCATGTAGAGTTTCTCTAATTAATGTATCAATTTTATGCTAGGAAAGTGTCTTCACACCCAAATGAAGGTAAACCACAGCCCATACTTACATATCAAAGGCACTGAACTCCAGTGTCAATCGAGCTGGCAAACCCAAAGGATCACCTGGAGAAAAGAAGCAACAACAAAGCTCCTTTCAAACTGAAATACTCACGTTATTTCCCTTTGTTGTTGCTGTTAAACATAGTGAAACGTTCCAAGTTCCAAATTCACAGCCACGCTTTCTAGTGTTTCAGCAAAACATCTGAAATATGTCAGATGCTCAGAGGAGCGTCAGGAGAAACCCGACCCGGTAAAACACTGAGTTTGTACCTACCATTGTAGTAGTAGCCCTTGATGACCTTGGGGGTCTCGTCCAGCCGGTACTCGTTGAGTTTCCTCTGGGTGAGCTCGTGCCAGAATCCCGCGTCCAGGGCGCTGCTGAAGGGAGCGAACTGCAGCTTGGAGAGCGCGGCCCGGCCCGGATCCCCGCCCGCGCTGGCCATGGCTGGGCTGCGGATGGCTGCTACGGAACCCTGCAACGGAGAGAGACCGGGGGCTACGGCAAAGGGACACGGCACCGACACCGACACCGAACAGGGACACGGCACCGACACCAGCACCGGGACTGGCCCCGCACATGGACACGGCACCG